AACTCTCTGAGCTTTCTTCACAGTGGCATATCTCTACTTCTTCTCCAACACTGATAACTCAAGTTCCCGATGCTCAACATGATCCTCTATACTCTTCGAATATATCAACATATCATCGGTTATCACAACCACTGACTCGCTCAAATAAGTATGGAAAATCCCATGCCAAACGGACATTCAATTTGCGAGTTATGGCATAAACACGAACCGCACCTTCCGAACTTACCACAACATCCAAACATATTCCATCAATAAATAACTTAATTCCATTCCCTTACTTCACTATCACATAGAGCATTGGACTAGCTTTCCAACACTTCGAACTGTGCGTCATTCCGAGTTACGGTTCTTCCGTTACGACAAAAATACCAAAACAACATTCTTCTGCCCAGGACATGCTCGCTAGGCGAACACAGCAGCGAGCGGTTGTTCGCTAGGCGAAGGACCTAGCGAACCTGACAATCCGAAATTCTATTTTCGACCATTACCTCACTTTCGGGTGTCCGATTTTGATTCCGTAAAAAGCTGCGATCTCGGAATTCAACGTACAACAACAATTTCACACTTAGAAGGTCATTCAATACATTTCCAATTTTTGAAATATTTTAAAACTCAGTTATACAAATATTGCATTCCACATCTGACCTTCTTTAATAATCATCAGAAGTCATCGTCCACCTTTAATATACCCGACCTTACAATTTGTTACTTTAGCACACACACCAGACACAAGCCTTAAAACTACTCAATCCATTTAGTTTTTCGACCATCCAAACGGACATATAATATGGAGCTCTCAATATCGGACTAGTTCCCGTAACTAAGTCGATCACAACTCCACTTCACGTCCTAACTGTATATCACCATCTTGTCTAGATAACTTCCATACAACCACAATTAATCGGCAAACCGCCAACTTTCCCACTTTCAGTAACACTCAAAATTCCCATCAAAATAAGCATCTCGGCATCATCCTACACCGAATCACCAAAACAATTCTAAGCATTGAGCTTAACTCAAAACAATTCACTGCTCACGCCATCTAAGCTTGCAAGACACGCCTATCCCATCCAACATGACCCCGTCTACTATCAACAACAGATTAAGGCTGATCAGTTCCTCAATTTGTCAATAGACAGCCAAAAATCATGATGGGGTATAAACCATCTTTACCAAACTATAAGAGCGTTCAACCATACACTGAGCTACAACTCTACACTTGCAGCATCCAGGAGAAGCACAACTTCTCCCCCACTTGTTTCATTCTCACTTCTGCAGACAAAGGTTAGGCAACAAACATGTACCGACAATTTTTTACACACATGTCGCATACCAGGGAACAACATTAGACAACTTGGCCGGACGGACCGACCTGCTCTGATACCACTAATGTAACACCCTTATTCTATCCCACAGATATTACGGCAAAATAACACGGATTTCAGAGTAAAATATAAACTTCCATTAAAAAGCCACAAAGGGCGTACATTTCTCAAAGTCAACAAAATTGGTCAATACTCCGTAACACACGGGTTTTCTCAAATTACATCAAAACATCATGTACAGCGGAACTCAAAACATAACTCAATGTTTTCCTCATAAGGGAACATCAGTAAAATAACCCAATGATATACAATCAACTCAAAGAACTCAACCCGATGTTACATATCAGAGCAAGACCTTCTACATTAACCATAAAGGCTAACGACTCTAAAACTTCACAATACTCCTCGACGGTGTCAACGACTAAACTTGCTCATCTGCATGTTACCCACGTGGAAGTAACATTCAAACAGGCAGGGTGAGTAAGACAATTCATAATAATCAATGTATAACAATTAATGCATAAACGACATATTACTCATATTTATATTCAACACATTGATATCCTTCAATTATGCCTCAAAGGCCACAACGTCATAATTTATACACAAAGCTCATAAATGCAAATGCAACATAGACTCAATGCATGTGGTACTAATCATCACAGCGCGATGGACACTGGGCCATCAACCCTCCATAGATCCCCATCGATAGGATCGGAGCACATCAAAATACTTCACATCCACACAGTGGGATTGAAGTCAAAGTAATCGAGGTCCTGAACCGAAGTTCGGATGCACATGAATGCATGATGCAAACTTCACACTAATCCTCATAATAACAGCATATGGTGCATCATCATTCATCATATTCATCATCATTACACGTCATATCTCATCGTCATATTCATCATCATAAATCATATCATCATAGCTCATCGTAACAATCATCATCATACATCATGTTATCATATCTCATCACAGTAATCCTCATTATACAACATATCATCATATTTCATCATATTAATCATCATACAACATATCACCATAATTCATCATATTATTCATCATACAACATATCATCATAGTCCATCATATTAATTAATCTCACACATCATGTCATCATATAATCACGTATAAATCACATATTAGCTCATAGTCATATTATCCCATATTAATTCATAATACTACCCCCATATCATCTCATATTAATTTATCAAATTATACTCACGGTAATCCTCACACTATCGTCTATCAATCACATAAACTTCACAGTTCTACTCATGTTAATTCGTCATATCATCACATAGTATTTACATATTAATCCCTAATATCATCTCACATTGCCTCATATTAATTCATCATAATTACACTCGCGATAATTCTCATACTAGCACTTATTACTCACGCAACCTCACTGTCATACTCTTCATCATATTATACTCACGGTAATTCTCATACTATCTCCTATTAATCACATAAAATTCATAGTCCTACTCATGTAAATTCATCATATTATCACAGTTACCCTCATGGTAAGTCATCAGGAAAATCGCAGCATCAAAACATCAAGACATCACTGAACCAAAACATGATTCATTAATAGGACATATACACAATTGACTTCTCAAACATAATTAGATATAAAAATATTGGGAAACCAATTCTCTTATCTATACTATGTTATAGCCCTTTTCATTAGTTTTCCAATGCTTTGAACGGGTGTCAAAACGGACTTACGGATCAAAAGTTACGTCCAAAACGATTTCGACCGAAAATATGAATAGTCGTGACGGACAGCAAAACGCTATTTTGCTCCGGAACCTAAATCAACTCAAAAGTCCACACGATTCACTTCCCCAATGCCTCCAAAATATCCCTAAATCATCCCTAAGGTCTTACGGCGATAAAGGCACAAAATCTATGGTTTATTAGGCCAATCTGGCAACATTTGCACTACCTAAAACACTATTTTCCTGCAATTGCTCTGAGTGCATCAGAGTTACTCACATTGAATATTCCTATTCCTACAAGGTCAAACATATCACAATCCAAGGTTTTGGCCACGAAGGCCTAAGGTTTCCCTTCTCATATGAATATTCAGTGTTACATACAATTACCCCTAACCTCAAAGCCTTATCATCAAATTCCCTATTTTCCCATAACCAATCCAAAATACCTTAAATCACAAACCAACCATAAACGCATCTAAAAGCATACATAGAAAATCATGAAGAGCGATACTCCCCATACCTTAGCCGATTCAAAGCTTTCACGATTAGTTCCGGCAATCTTCCGAAGCTTTTGCCTCCACTGATCCCTCCTCGGAGCTCTGGCCTCCATTCTTTTCACGGTTAACAAAATGAATCCTCAACCTTCAGAATTCTATTTTGTCAAACTTAAACTTGGGCCACACAATTGGGTTTTTCCCATAACACCCTTACTAACTCTTCATAATGTCCAATTTACCCTTATTTCATTTATATTCATTTTAATCAATAACAATACTAATATTCTCATATAATATACTATTAATTAAATAAATAGTCCAAAAATGCACATTTTCTTAATAATCCACAAAACCACCGAAAACCACCCAAAATACGAATATTCTCAATTAAATAATTAATTAAAATATTCCGCTTAAATTTGGGGTTTTACAAACCTTGCCTGTTTGAATGTTGCCTCCACGTGGGTAACGTGCAGATGAACAAGTTTAGCCGTAGACGTCGTCGAGGGGTATTGTGAAGTTTAGAGTCGTTAGCCTTTATGGTTAATGTAGAGGGTCTTGCCCTGATATGTAACATCGGGTTGAGTTCTGAGTTGATTGTATATCATTGGGTTATTTTACTGATGTTCCATTATGAGGAAAACATTGAGTTATTTTTTGAGTTCTGCTGTATATGATGTTTTGGTGTATTTTGAGAAAACCCGTGTGTTACGGAGTATTGACCAACTTTGTTGACTTTGAGAAAACCCGTGTGTTACGGAGTATTGACCAACTTTGTTGACTTTGAGAAATGTACGCCCTTTTGTGGCTTTTTAATGAAAGTTAATATTTTACTCTGAAATCCGTGTTATTTTGTCATAATATCTGTGGGGTAGAATAAAGGTGTTACACTTGAAGTCACTTGTTCAACAGTATTTGGTAGTGTTTGATTGTACTGATGGTTGTAATCTAAGAAGGTTCACCGATGGTGTATATCAATGGTTGTGATCAAAGCAAATGTTCGTTGAGAATGGTCTAAAAATTCATGATCTCTGATGACTAGTAAACCTCCTGGTAGATTGAGATGATAAGTCTGTAGTGGAATCATCTATCTTGTGGTTTTAATCAATTCTGATATCCAACGATTCGTTGAGAAAAATTTACGATATTATTTTGTCGTTTCCTCAAAAGAGAAAAGTTTTATCAATGTTACTTGATATTTAAGATAACACACTTATTAGAAATTAAATAATCAAAAAAACATTTCTAAACCAACACACCTAATAAGTTGGTCAGACATAACAAGTGATTACAGTAAACAACCACCATTACTCTAACATCCAATGTTTTCTTTTTCTTTTTCTTTTCCTTATACAGTTTGTACCAAGAAACAAATATTGTATTAACATTTTTCCATCTATACAATCATATGATGAAATCATGCAAGTGAATATCATCAAAGAATACAACTATTGAGTATTGAATACATTATCTCTTTCCAAAGAAGATTGATTCATAGGGTGAAGTTCAATTGTAGATGACATTGCATGATCTTCCATCATGATAATTGCTTGTTCACCAATTTGAGAAACTTGGTTTGATTCTTTGGTCATTCTTTGGAACAATGGAGGTGACTCCACCTTATCATCATACTTATCAATCTTGCAACGGCTACCCATCTTCTCCAATTGAATACAGATTAAACCAAAAAAAACAAACAAGCATGTTAAAGTTTTTGATGAAATCTTATAGTTTTATGAATCAAATGGTGGAGAATGCGTGTTCGTAGATTATTCGAACCTGAGTCACAAGAGTGTAAAGAGGTAAGGTGCTGTAACTGCAAAGCACTTGAACAATTACACTGCATAACATTACAACTAAGCAGTTAGATAAGAACTGAGAATAAAGAATGCATCATATATGATTCTTCTTAGAAGCAATATAAGTTATTTGTTACCCCATTATAATTCTTGGGATGATGTAGGCGATTTTCTCCATAATGCATGAATCGAATCCATATGTTGACTGCATATAAGCGATAAAAATCAATGTTAGAGATTGACAAAAAGATTTACTAAGTTGAAGGTAAAAGGCAGTTCAATGCACTCACCCAAATCCAAAAGAAAAATGCGATTTCGTAAGCGTTTTGAAACAAAGTGAAGTGAAGTAAGTCGAGTACAATGGCCGGACGGCCGAACCAAAAGTATTCATCCGAAGGCTTCACTTGTTCGGTTGGATATTCCTTTGCTACCGACTCCTGGCCTAATCGAGTGATTATGTGCTCTAACTTTGCCCCGACAAGTAGTAGTATCTGTTTCATCACCAAGCTGAATATAAGTCTCACTTGTATTCCATTCTTAACATAGTAATGTTAACAAAATTACTCATTTGGAAAGAGTCGAGCCACTTACTATCAATGGTAAAAAGGCCAACCAGAAATAAGTGTGCCACCCTGCAGACGAAACTCTTATCGGTAGGTATACTTTAAAACGCCATTGTTAAAGAAAACATTGCTAAAGAGAGTTCTTGATTTACCGTCAAGATTCAGCAGCAAAAACAGCACGACAAAGACCCAAAGGTACCAGCTATGGAGGTAGTACAACAATAAAGATTGATCAGTTAGCTGTAACTAGAGTACATATATTAATTCGATTAAATAGACTATTCTAAATCTAATAGAGCTTATTAATGAACCGAAAATGTAGATAAACATGTTCGAGACTTTGAGCCCCTCACCTTATGCCTACAACTTTTTTGAAGTCGACTTCAAGTGTCTGCATCATGTAATTATGAAAATTAAAATTGGGATCATTTGGATAGTGTTCCTGTAAAAAAAAGGTTACAATACAAAAAAACATATCTTCATGTCAGTGTAAGTACTATGAAATTAGTTATTTTTTCGAGAGATTAACCGTATATAACTTGACATGATTGTAACCTTGATAAATCCATGCCGCAGCGCAAGGTAGTCGTATTTTGTAATTGAGGAAAAAAATTGTTTGAAAAATGATCTCTGCCAACACAAACCCAGTCAACAAAATTTCAAACTATAGGTAAAAATCTGAATAAGAATAAATAAGGTTCCGAAGAAAACCAGAGAGAATTCTAGAACTTACAAACCAACCAACAACAGCTGCTTTTCTCCAATACCCCTGAGCATGTTTATTGAAGAATTCATCTATCTCTAATCTAAGAGTTTCACCTGCAGGTGATAAAAAAAAAGCTAGAATTTTAGAAAAATCTAAAAAGTTAACTTGTTTGTTTTCTTATATATTCATCATATGGAATTTAAGTTTTAAATTATGAAATTACCACTTGAGTTTATTGTCTTCTTCCTAGCATGATCCTCCCAGCTTTTCCATTGACGAATCTATTTCAGATAAAATACAAACATAATTATGCTGCAATCCATGAATGGACTTATTTTTTTATTAGTAAGCACTATATCATATTGCCTACTTATTATTACCCTTGCACCTCCGAGAACCATTGTTGCGACACAGAATACTACATGTACAACAGCCAATACAAAGATGAAAATATGAAGATGATGCAATCCTTCCAGTGATAACAAAGGTACCTTCCCCTGCATGGGGTACAAAAAAGAAAGGAATGCGATCTAAATTCAGTTGCAACGTGTAATGAATCAAAATAAAATTCGCTGACAATTACCTCTAGTCTACAATGCTGTGAACCGGTATCTGTAGATAAAAGCCTTCTTCTGTTGATTATAGTATCATAGTATATCAGATCATGTTCTGAACCTTGTGAAGATCCATGAGACCTCTTGCATGGAAGCATTTGGGTTGCATACTTAGGTGGAATGCAAATGTGGCTTATTAGGCCTTGAAAGACGGTTAAGAGAAGGGAAATGAACCCTAAAAGCATCAACTCTGGTAAAGAAAATATCACAAAGGTACACATAAGTTAGGGTAAAGAATCATGTTAACGAAGACTGTGTTTACCATTTCAAAATATATGATACTTCAACACATCACAGTATAAATCATGATACTGGAAAATTGATTGATTTCAAGGTTATATAAGAAACAACCTTCTTCCAATTTTGTTAAGGCACTATATAATGCTGTCTGCTTTTTCCTCTTTAAGTACTGTAAAATTCAATCCAATAGAAAGCTCATCATAAACAAGATAAGTCATTAAGCATATCAAAGCAATTAAAAATAAAATGCAACTAATGTTTTAAATTACTTATTCTTGCTGCCATGAGTTGAAACCATAATGCTAAAGAATAGATTTGAAACATGAAGGTCACAGAAATATGAAAGCATGTATGTGCTGATTTACCTTTCCTAGGCTGTGAATTGCACGCTCAACGCACAGAGAGATGAAAACAATGACAGAGCAAACAACTGCAACAATCCATGTTGGTGTATATTCAAGAGACTGGTTCAGTTCTTCTTCTGCCATGTTTTTATATCAATACAGTTCGGCAGAGCTATGTGTTGAAGACAATTCTCCTTTTTTTTTTCTGTTCAATATATACATGTTGGACAGAAAGTGACATTTGTTAAGGAAACTATATTCTGCACACTATTGATTCCACCAAGCAAAGAATGTTTTTCCAGGAAATCAAGGCATACACAGCTAAATGGAGTTGGCATAAAAAGTAGAACTAGATTCTAAAGTTCTGATCACGATTATATTATGACAAAAAATCATAACTTGTTTCACACCCATGATACAAACATTTGCTTAAAAACATAACTTGTTTCACACCCATGATACAAACATTTGCTTTTTACATAGTTTTTTTTTTCTTGAGATGAATATCTTGTATAAAAGAATATAAAACAGGCTATGAGGGAGTGGTGTGTTCTTGCTTATGTGCCAAGTTTAGTTTCTGACATGCCACATGCTAAATAAGAGGATGATTCTTAGCAGTTACAACTATGCTTTTGCATGCATACATAAAAATAAAATAAAGCTACTACTATAGTCATTATTATAAACAAATATTCTCTATTCAGGTTCTAAGGTTCAATTAATGTATCTGATTTATATCTAGAATCTCTGCTTATAGTAGTGACAAGAGGGTATATTACAAAAATAGAATGAAAGAGAATGAAAGGTTTTATATGAAATAGAGGTCAAGAGTAAAACAGTAACCACATTAGATGAAACTGTCAAAACAATTACAAGCTGTTCAGTTTTCATGTTTAAAGAATACAAGATTTGGTTTTGATACAAATATACTATGTATATCACAAAAAGAAAAAAGAAAAATACAAAGAGACACTCTCAAGTACCACTTTATGAAGTCTTAATTCTACTCTCGAGTCATCATTAGCCACACAACCAACTAGATTCACTAGGCCAAGCATGTTGCCTTGTCTTCAAAATTTTCCTTGAACTTTTTAGTTGAGATATATAAAGCAACTTAAGTTACCAATGCACTCAAGTCATTTGTGGTACTTGCGTGGTGAAAACACAATGAACAACACGACACGACACCTTATGGTTTCCATGGTGCTGGAGGTGGTGGTGGTGTTGGAAACATTGGTGGAACAGCAGAGAAAAGGGTGTTTTTGTCAATCGGTATGCTTTTGTCACCTGATAGTGCGACTAAGGCTGCTACTAAACCAGCATTTCCAGCAAGTGTTGGCTCTGTGTAGTTGTAGTTTGATCGAACATCGTGGAAACCATCGTGCTTGTCAGGACCAGCAACCATGGCACCAACAAGTATATTTGGATTTGGCTTTGATGTGTCCCTCCATTTCCATCCACCTTTGCAGTTATATTTAACCTTGTTCTTTGGTATAGATGCACCTCTATGGTGGACATGTTTTGGATAATGATTACCAAAACCTACAATATAGCTCATTTTCCGCGGATTCTTCCCAAGGATGTAATCAATCTACAAAAATATAACAAAAAAGATAAATTAGCAAAAATGTCGTAGTTATGTCCTGGTAAACTCATTTAAGGAGCAGCATATCACACTTACCTGTGTCCTGGCAAACTCGCGGAGTTTTTCGGTTGAATAGAAGTTAGGTCCACAATACCATCCAGGTGTATCGGCGGCATCTAGGTAATCACTGTATAGGGTAGCCAAAAAGGCTGCATTGACAACATATTGGAGAGGCTGAGGTCTACCATGGTTTAATTGAATCAAGCCTCCTGTGTGCATAAAAAATACCATTTGCATCAGAATCGGAATTGGAAAATCATGAACTCTCATGCCGAGTTAAAGCTTAGAAGTAAGAATAGCTTACCTTTGGTTCTGTTAAAGCTTGTGAAAACTGGTAGGTAGGAGCACATGATTATACTTGTCTGATTGTGGAAGGTCCTTAGAATTTCTTCATATGGATACCCAGGACTCAAGAACAACCTCAAACGACTAAGAAGAACCTGAGTATGAAACGTCAAAATCAAATTAGACAAGTTTGTCATAATCAAATTACACACGCATGCCTTAACAAAAAATCTCAACAAAATTACCTGTGCACCAGCAAGCTTGTTATCCCAACTCAGTACTCCGTAATCAGGGCCACCCCAGAAAGCACCAGCATGTTTAGCAATACCGGGATTAGTAGCAAGCTTAAGGTACGAGTTATTTCCAGTTGCAAAGTACATCCATGCGCCTCCCCAAACAAACTCATCAAAGTATCCAGTAGAATTGTAGAATGTCGCAGCCTCAGAACTACCTGCACTGTATCTGCCTCTCTGATCCCTGGAAAACTTAAAAAGTGTACCGGCACCATGAACAAGTTTCTTGGAATAGGCTTTGTTGTCTTTGAAAACAATGGACGCAGCAGCCAAGGCAGCAGCCATTTCTGCAGCAAGCTCTGAACAACTGTGACATTCGGTGACTGGCCTGTCGTAATCAATGTCTTCTGGACGCATCCAGCAGTAGTGATCATTGGGAGTCGTACTTCCATCTGAGGTATCTCCACTCCCAACCTGTCAAAGAACACCAAACACATGAGATCCACAGTCACAGTTTATACAAGGTAAATTGATTATGCTATATCATAATAGACACATTAGAACCAATTCTACTCGGAGCTCATTCAAACACGTTAGAATCAATTTTACACCACTACATTTGATGTTGGCTCTCCGAAAAGTGGAACCAAATAAAAAACCAAAAGTTTAATAAACTGACAGACAAATCCTTTCTTTCTAAGCCACATAATAGATCAATCAACCAAATCCAAATGAAAAATCAAGAACAGAAAGCAAGATGGTTGGTTACCTGAGCGGCAATAGTGGTAATAGTATCAGCGGTGTTATTGAATGTCTTAAGAAAATAATCAGTACCCCATTTAATGATTTCCTTGACATGATCAAGCTCCCCATTAGCTTCATATTTACCACTATACTCAATAACACTCCAACTCAACATAGTGATGGAAAAAGCAGCCGGAAAATTGAACTTGATGGCATCTCCAGCATCATAGTATCCACCAACAAGATCCTTGATTGCAGCAGACACACCATCGCCCTTTCCATCTTGCATACACGAAGTTCCCCTCCAAGAAACATTGTTATGCTTCGGAAGTTTCCCAGCTGCACAAAACCACCAACACAAATCAATTTGAGATAACAAAAAAAAAAGACAAGTTTTCATCAAAAAATCAAAATTCAGACCAGTAGTCCCTACTTGTCAAACAAAATATAATGAATCACAACACAAATCAAGTGAAACAACACAAGATTCCATTTTTTTAATCGGAAATCAAAATTTTCACAATTAGTAACATATCAAATTGAGATAACATAAACAAATTAATTTTAAAAAAAAAAAAGCAATCAAAAGATCAAACTTTAGACTATTAGTCCTTATATGACACAAAATAGAAATGAATCACAGATCAAATCAAGTAAATTTACTCCCACAAAACCCTTTTTCATCAAGATCCATACTTAACACTATCAGTCACATATTAAATTGAGCTAACATAAACCAAAAAAAGAAACTTTTTTCATCAAAAATTGTAACTCAATCTCATGTTTGACAAAAAAAAGTGAATCACAAATCAAATCAATTAATCAAGTAAAACAACATAAAAATCAAATTTTTAAATATCAGTTAACCCCTATAAAACAAAATGAAGAGAGATTTAGCATGAAAAGACAAAAGGGTAATCAGAAAAAGTTAAAAATCTAACATTTTTGTGCATTGAAGAACATGAGAGCTTTATGAAGAGCAAGAGTATAATTATCCGGAGGAGGATGTTTATGATGATGCCGAGGAACAGTTTTAACAATAAGAACAACCAAACCAGCAAGAGCAGCAGCACAGAGAATAGTCCCCACAGTCCAAACAAAGATCTTGCGGCTAACAATGATACACCCCAGATCTACATACTTCTTCTTCTTCTTCTGTTCAGTAGGACCCAACAACCAACTCTGTTGAGTTTCATCTAAAGGACGAGATAACGCTGCTCTATCTAGCTCTTGAAGATTCCTGCTACGATCTTCATCTGTTGCTGAGTCTGTTGCGTTGATCTCTAATGGACCTCCCCATGGATCTCTTCCGTACATACTCAAAGGCTTGTGTTGTTCTGTGAACTATGGAAATGGAAATTGAAACTGAAATTCCACCGACAAAGATGATCTCAATGAAGAAGAGAAAAACACATTAATTATTGTTTGGTTTCTCTCTCTCTCTAGAAGTAGAGTGAGAAAGAGAACAGGAAGTGAGAAATGTGAATGAAGTGAGATGATCTATAAGACCATTTGTGCTGGCTGGTTTTTAGCTGTCTTAGCATGTTATTCTTTTTATAAATAAAAAAATCCGTTTTTTAATAATAATTTTCCTTTTTTTTTATGCTTATAGAAATTGAATGCACTGTAGATTTGAATCAGCCATTAAATTACTTAATAAAAAATCTAGCAATTAAGGTCATTGTTTTCAACTAGATATAATTATGCAAAATTACTTAGTAATTAAAGTTGCATAATTGTAGTATTAGTTCAGTTTGTTAGATTATTGATGGGTGCTTTAAAGTAATTTTAAAAATAGTAAAACATTAATTAACATAATTTGGATTAATAAATATTTAGAAGTAGTTGGATGAAAAGACAAATATGTGTTTGGGTTATTTTTGGACGGTAGTGACGGTGCATATTTGCTTAATAATAGGGTAATATTGTAAATCATGTGGGTTGTGCTTTAGCTTTCATAATAGTATTAATGAAAATAAATAAATAAATTAGGTAGAAGACAGTGACCAGGGCGCAGATCGAAAGTGACACTCTGTCTAAAATAAAACCCAGCAAGCACCTTCTTCTTTTAACAATTATTATTTTGTTTATTATAATGTTAATTGTCTTCATACAAATGGGTTAGTACTATAGAATAATCTAATATAATCCACCAAACGGTAATATATATTAAAATGGTAACTGGTGCTAGTATATATGCCATATGCTAAATGACAGGAAATTATTTATTAGTATTAATTTGTTTTAGGGTAATAGTAGTAGTATTTGAAAAGCTTTACAAAAGAACCAACCACGAATGACGTTTCACCTTTTGTTTACAACCAAAGGTTTGCCGACACTCAAAGATATTATCCTCCTCCTCTCTATCTCATGCTTTTCTTCAAACCTCTACTTGGTTTACACTTTTTTCAATCTATTTGGATAACAAAGTTATTTCTAGATGATTAGACATGTAATTAGTTAATTAAAAGTATGTTGGTTGTGATTAACTTTGTATTTTGGTGAATAAATATCATTGTAAAAATATTATTTAATTATGAATAACTATACTTACATTCTTTCTCCAAAGTATTGTATGATTTTATTTTTTATTTTTCGAGTATATATGATTTCGTTCAATTTTATTAGTGTCTTTTCGTTAATGTCAAATTTGACAGATTGATTCGTTAATAAGGTGATATTTAATTTTATTTATGTTATTATTTATTATGGTAATTGATAAGCGTGATTAATTTTATTCGAGCTATATAATGTAATGAAAAAAAAAATTGAAAACTAAGAGAATGTTAGATTATGTTAATGGAATTTTTAATAAGCTCATACATAAAAAGATGCAATAGTATATCTGAAAAAATTGAAAACATACAATGTCAGTCATTTTGAATATCCTTGCATAGATTTATGATTTTGTTTATTAATTAATAAGTGAGCAATTTCTAAAATGTGATATTATTAAGGAGGTTTGGAGATTAATACTAGAACTCTTAAACTTAATAATGTGATCTTTATGATCATTCAGGAATTTTAATAATATGATCATTCTGAAATTTTATTTTGCCATGATTAATTATATTGTGGGATATGATAAATGTGGAATTTTTTGTGTTAAGCATGTTTGTAAATTATAGGATTCGACTAAGTCAAAGTCGAATATGTTCTATAGAATAGTAGTTGAATATGTATGTATTTGACATAAGATTGAATACAACTTATAAGAGAAAGAGGAGCATGTATTCGACAGAGAGCCGAATGTAGCTAGTCAAAGTCGGAATAACAAGTATTCGACAGATTAGAATACAACTTGTTGAAGTTAGTCATTTCGAGATTGCTTGATGTAAGTAGTCTCATTATAAATATGGAGGTACCCTACATTTGTAACAACACAATTTTTTATTCAATAATACATTCTTCTTTCTTTCTCCAAAACTCTAATTTTCTCACTCTTCCCTTTTTCTCTCTAAATTATCTCCTCTCTTCAAATCTTTGTACGACAAAATCGTCTTGCAACCAAAGCATAGTTGAATTACTCGAGTGAAGAGTGAAGAATAAGAATCCAATATCAATTGAGAAAGCAATTAAATCTTTTTCCATCAAGAATGGTTCCAACGTCTAGTATCTAGACCACTGGTTGCGATTCTTGGAAAGCATAAAACAATGACTTCTCACCTGAATGGGCATTTTCCAGCAAATCTTTCCATCTTTGTTAGTTCTCGATTGGCAGGTATTTTGGTAAAACTTGGTGATATCACAAGATATCCTATAGGATGTCTTGACATATGTTCTTAACATTTTGCAGGTAGCTATGATTGTTGTTTCAGGCTTTAGTTCATGATGTCCTGACATTTGTAAACAAAACATTCTGTGAGAATGTGTTTGTTTTCCTGTTACTTTTTGTGCAACTCTTTGCGCTGTTATGATCTGTCATTTATGGTTCAAATCTGCGTAGAAATATTCTTTATTCAAAAGAGTTTTTTATGCATATTTCATGGAGTATTTATGGAGTCGTGTGAGCTATTCTCTGAAGGAAATCTTGAAGATCTGAAGAGTGATTTGATTGGAGCTGATTAGATCAAATCAAATATGTTTTGATTATACTCATTGATTCTAATTATTTAAATTGATTTCTTCAAGATCAGATGCTGTTTTTGCCAAAGCCCAAGCTCGTCCAAGAGTTACTATTTAAAGGATTCACAATCCTATTTTGAAGTTCAGAGAAGCTAGGTTTAATATAGTGCATTGCGTAAGGATTAAAGCTTTTTAGCATTCGTGTGTTTGTGTTGGTTTGTGAGCCATTCACTCATTACTTTAATGTGTGAATTGGACTAAATTTTTATGTTGTAAGTTGTTCACTCAAAGCTTGTAAGAAAGAGTGTATTGTCCTTGCTTGAAACTTTTAAGCAAGATCAAGTTTTTTCTTTGAAGAGTGTCTTCTAAAGTTTATTCATCTGTTGTTATCACTGCTGTGATTGAGGGGGAGTGAAAGGTGACTCTTATCTAGGAGTGTCCTAGGTAGAAATTACAAAGGTAGAGATTAGGTGTGAAGATAGTAAACTAGAGAGAGTCTACTGTGTATCTTCAAACTAATTCTAGTTAGTGAATTTCTTTCCTGGCTTGGTTGCTCCCAGACGTATGTGTGTTTGCACCGAATTGGGTTAACAATTGCTTGTGTCTTTTTACTATTGTTATCTTTTTGTCTTTGTTCTTATTGGTGATAGTTCAGATATTAGTGTCATAACATCGCCTTCAACATCTTATATCTGATACCAGAATTTCAATTGGTATTAGAGCAGGCATCCTGCTCTGGTTCTGGGTGAGACCTAGGGACGTTACTTTCTGGTACTATGGACAAAGAAGGAGGATTTGTGAACAGACCACCTGTTCTGGACGGGAGTAATTATGACTATTTGAAACCACGTATGGTTGCCTTCTTAAAATTTTTGGATAGTAAGGCATGGAAAGCTGTTATAAAAGGATGGGAACATCCTGTGACTGTTGGGAAAGATGGAAAGGCTACATTTGACTTGAAGCTTGAGGAAGAATGAACAAAGGAAGAAGATAAACTGGCTCTTGGTAACTCCAAAGCCTTGAACGCCATGTTCAATGGAATTGATAGAAACATATTCAGATTGGTGAACAATTGTGAAGTGGCTAAAGATGCTTGGGAGATACTCAAGACTACCCATGAAGGTACCTCCAAGGTAAAGATGTCAAGACTTCAACTGTTAACTACAAAGCTTGAAAACCTAAGGATGAAAGATGATGAAAGCATACATGATTTTCATATGAATATTCTTGAAATAGTCAATGCTTCAAGTGCCATAGGTGAAAAGATGTCAGAAGAAAAACTGGTAAGAAAAATTCTCAGATCTCTTACCAAGAGATTTGACATTAAAGTAATTGCTATAGAGGAAGCACAAGACATTTACAAGATGAGGGTTGATGAACTCATTAGATCTCTTTTAACCTTTAAAGTGGGAATAAGTGACAAAGCTGATAAGAAAAAGAGCATAACTTTTATGTCAAATACTGAAAATGGAGAGGATGAATCAGATGGGGATACTAATGAAAGTCTATCCAATGCCATAGTGCTTCTTGGAAGACAGTTTAACAAGGTGATGAAGAGAATGGATATGAAGTCAAGACCTAATGTTAAGAATAACTCTCATGACATCAGTAGGTCCAATGATGCAGGTAGAAGAACCAGGACTGAAGAAAAACCCACTAATAGCAAAGGGATTCAGTGCCATGGATGTGAAGGTTTTGGTCACATTAGAGCTGAATGCCCAACCTATCTCAAGAAACAAAAGAAAAGTCTTATTGTCTCTTAGACTGATGAGGATTCTAACAGTGACCTTGAAGAAGAGTCTGTTAAACATGTAACTGCTTTGACTAGAAGATACTATTCTAATGAAGACTCAAATGAAGATGAATTAACATTTGAAGAACTTGCAGCTTCCTACAAAGAGTTGTGTCTTAGAAGTGAAGAAGTGTGTCATTAAGGTGAAAAGCAGAAGAAACTCATCATTAAACTGAAGGTTGAAAAGGAAGAACACCTTAAAACTATCACTGAGTTGAATGATGAAGTTGCTTAGCTGACTTCCCAACTTGATCAAATGGGGAAGTCTGTTAGAATGATGAACAGTGGTACCAACACCCTGGATAAGATCCTTCAATCTGGAAGAAGGGCAGGAGACAATACAGGGTTAGAATTTGATGAAGAAAAGAAACCACCTTCAGACAATAATCATTCTTCACAACACTAGCCTTCTGGATCCAAGCGAAAGATGTTCCATCCGATGTCTCAACATCATGACAGA